GGACCTTGCGAGGTCCCTTGGGCACAAGGAAGAAATGGCTGGCACAAGGAAGGAATTTTCCTTGTGGCGTTTTCACATTTCTTTTTCAATTTCGTCCCCAAGGACAGGTGGAACGAGCGCGTCCTTGTGGATTTCACGTCCCCAAGGAGTGTCTAACGAGGCCCTATTTCTCTGCAAGGATGACACACATAAATCGAGAAATAGTCCGAAATCAAACATCTTCGATTATGTTTTTTCCTAGGAAGATTCTGATTTCAAGAGGGGTTTAAAGGGGTTTAAAGGGCTAGAGGGGTTTAAAGGGGATGCCTTAGTGTGATTCTGATTTTTGTGTTTTTATGTTCGATTCTGTGAGGAATGCTAATGTGACCCTCAGTCAAAAGTCGTTGCATTGCAATTCCACACAACATATGTTTTGGGGGATTTTCCTGATTTTATTCTTTATTTTTTTAATGTTTTTTGTGGTGGTGCTGCCTGGAACCCTGCCCTGGGGTAATGCCTGGCCAGTTACCCGGCATAAGTTGGGTGCCCGGGCGCTTGGAAAAACAGCCTAGTTGTGGAATTGGCAAACCCCTTTTATAGACACGCAAAGCCAGACATCACCAAACTCAAAGATGAGGCTGGATTTGGGCACATCTTCGCGGGTGGGTAATTGCGCCAATGCGAATAAATTTAAATAAAAAAGTTCCACCGCGTTTGGTGTCGCCAGGGTACCGCGGGCGGGTCGCCCCCGTGCAGGTTTACCCGGGTTGACCGGCCGGGAGACCCTGGGAACACAGCTGTTCGCACAGTCTGAACCGGTGATGGCCTTTTGCTATTGTCACCGAATTGACGGACCCCAGATAATCATTTGATCTGTCAGGATTTGAAATCAGGCTGTTTATTGACAATCCTTGGCTGAGTGGAGGTGAGGAAACATCTAGGTGCAAGTCCGACAGCCGATCGAAAAAGAACTAGTTTGTTGGGGAACTTATTGGGCTATTCCAAGGTCAGCTGATCAGTTTGATTCTATTTGATATTAGAAATGTCTTTTGTTCATACGTCGGGAAGGGAAGGGACGAGGGCCCTGGTTCCCGGCACGTGTTGAACCCCACTTATAGAGATTGGAGAAATCTCTCCCCCCCCTTWCCCCCGCCTTCCCCCCCCCCTTCCCCCACCTCCCCTGGCCCCCCTGCCCCCTGCCCCCGGAATAGTGGAGTGAGACTTGATGTAACACACAGGAAAATAAGGTCTATTTTTTTCCTTTTTCTGGTAAGTGCTTTTCGGGTAGAACCGTAGAAATGTCAATATTTTGGGGTAATATTTTAAAAGACTGTCGGATGCACGTTGGAACATTAGATCCCGAGGTTTTTCCTTCTTTTTTTAGTACAAGCTAAAAAAGAAGGGCGCTGCATATTGACGCCTTTACAGCAGGACATCCGTTAAAATTGGAACGATCCAGAGAAGATTAGCATGGCCCCTGCGCAAGGATGACACACATAAATCAAGATATGGTCTAAATTAAAAAAAAAAAAAATACAAAAAAAAAAAAAAGAAATACGAGGGATGGGTCCTTTGGGGCATCAGGTAAAACTGGAATGATGCAGAGAAGATCATCACAGCCGATGCACAATGATGACACATAAATGAAAGAAAAGAAAAGGAAAGGAAAAGTAATATATCCAGCAGCCTAGCTCAGGTGGTTGGACGCACGGAAGTTGCATTCAGGAGGTTGTGGGTTCGAGCTCCATGACCGCCTGCGGCGCATTTAGTGCCAACCAGCTATGATAGTCTTTTCATTAGCCGGAACCCCACTCGTTGGGGCCCGCAGGAAGTAGATGGGAAGCGCAGCTTCTGGCAAACGGCTCATAGTCTTTGCGATAGCCGGACCCGCACTGGCGGTCCCACATCATCTCTGATGACTGCTGTCGGGACGGGAGCCAACATGAATCCCTTTGTGAGGCCCTAATGCTTGCTTGCAGGGGTCCCCGATATATAGACTTAGGAGTAGTGGTAGGTAGGTAGTGAAAGTGGAAGAAAGAAATTGAGAGAAGAATATAGTGTAGTTAAACCACCAGTACCTTTCCCATCTGTCGGCCGCGAGCAGTGCGCGCCGACCCGAAAATCAAGACTGGCCGCCCATAAACCGTGAGCACTGCGCGCCAGCCTGAAGATCAAGACCGGCCACCGGTTCGATTTATCGGCAGCCGTTCTTCTGTTTAAGGGGAGTGCGTCACGTGGCATGCCTCTGAGAAAATAGCTTGGAATGGCACTGGTGGTTCAAACCACCACTAGCTTTTCCCATGTCGGCCTTGGGTGGGCCTCCAATCTTCTCGGAGGCTGAAATGGAACATCGGCTCCTGATGAGATTCCGTCGTTGGGCCCGCCCCGGATCTTTAAGGAGTAGGATATTTTCCATATTTGCGGCGCATCTCATGCGCGGGGACGCGGCACATGCGGCGAACAGCGCACGCGCATGAGATGCGCCACATGTGACGCGGCGCATCAAAAAAAAAAAACAAAAAAAACACAGGAGTGGGGTGGCCAAACCCTCCCCTCACCTCTGAAAATCAGAGAGCAAGAGGGAAAAAAGTTTGGGCCATGCGATACTCCAAAACTGTGGGCACTCGTCTATTAATGCGAGTATTCATGCCCTACTGGGTCCAGCCTCTTTTCCGAAGGGCCCTTACAGTATATTAGCTGGGGCCCTATGTGTAGCAGAGGCGAACTTCACACTACCCACTTCTAGGCGTGGGCCAAGAATATATAATCTGGATTCGAATCCAGGTCTCTGCATCTCGGTTATGGGTCACTATTTCTCATAGTTCTCGTTTTCCATTTCTTTCGATTTCCTTTTCTTTTGTTTTCCTTTCTTCCGTTTTCCTTTTCTTAGGAATACGTGCAGTGGCCCTCAGGGCCTCTAATCATGACCATGCATAAAAGACAAAACATATGGTGGCGTACTATTCCACGTTCTGCAGAAGATTCATTCTAATTTTGCACATTTGGTGAGTAGTGCAGCCAAACCCTGAGAATAGAACAACAGGCCATAGCTTACTGACCAACCCATAACTGCTGAATTCAAATCTCCACTATATATTCGGCCAGCTCGTCGTGCAATTCACGTTCACTCCCTGCCTCGTTTTTGGATGAGGGTCTGGGCTTTAATGCCGCGAGGACCCTTAAGAGTGCCTGCATCGGCAGCCTGAGGTCTGTTAAGGCTATCCTTTGCTCTCACACACCCCTGAAAAGCAACAAAGTGGAGTTGAGAGGAAGGATGCAGGGGCGCACACACATACCTTTAAAAAAAAAAAAAAAAAAAAANTAAAAAAAAAAAAAAAAAAAAAAAAAGAGCGCATCACCAATTTGCGCATGGCGCATGGCGCATGCGCACCGCACGGCGCAGCGCAGAAGTGCACTGCAATTATGATATTTTCCCTTTTTCTTTTTTTTCTTTTTTCTAAAGTTTTTTTTTTTTTTTTTTAATTTATAAAAAAGCCCAGGGGGTTGTAGAGGTTGGTTTCTGGACCCACTACAGGTACCTATCTACAGTCAGCAACTAATTTATGGGACCCAGACCATCCTATCTTGGAGGATCCCACTCAGCCAGCCCCTAATGCAGGTTCCCCAATGATTCCTCCACCAGAGTCTGTCTACTAACACCCCTCCTACCGGGATCCCTTAAGACAATCGCCTACTGTAGGTTCCCCACCGATATCCTCCAGCAGAGCTTGTCCCAAGCCAACCCTCCCCGCAAACGGGACCCCATCCCACCTAAGGTCCTTGCCCCCCCCAAAGCAGAGTGTAAGGTAACCAACACGCATGAGCAATCTAACCACAAACCCGCACCTGCATCCTCGTTAGACTGCTAACTGTATCAGGCAAAAACCTCATAGGCCAGGACCCAACATACACCACCATGGACAGTCCCCTGGGTGGTGCGCAGGCAGTGTCTGTGATAGCTTACCATGCGTCAGCCCAAGGGGTGTGTGTCCAGCCGTGCGTCATTCTAACGCCCTGCCAGTGTCCATGTGCAAGGCTGCAATTGAGTTTCGAACCTGCAACCTCATACCGTAATGCGCATTTCCAACCGGTGCTCTAACCACTGAACAGCGGGGAAGGTAGTGCCAACACCACCTTTCTCATATGTGGGGCCCGCGGGCCTCAAATTCAAATTCGGCTGCGACGCCCCGTCGAAGAAAAATATCAACGGTGGCGCCGCGTCTATTTTTCACGAGTAGGCTACTAGATGCCCACGACCTACATATGGGAAAGGTAGCGGTGGTTTAAACAGGAAAAAAAAAGAAACAAGCGAAAAGAACGGAGTTTAAAGAACGTACGAATGGGGTGTGGAAATTAGTAAACGAAAACAGGGGGGGTGACAAATTGCGAAGGGTATTTTACTATTTTCGAGCTAAGACAAGGGGGGTAAGAATGTGCAGAAAGGGAAATCCCATGAACAGCCCAAAAAAAGGGGATCAGTGGGATCACATGGGGTTCATAAGTTGAAACAATCTAGGGGAGTGCGTTATCAGAACGATCGCTTTTTGCTTATTCAATCAGGGTAATCAGAACGATCGCTTTTTGCTTATTCAATCAGTCAGCTGTACTTCAGTTGGGCCTCGCATCATATCAGTCAAAGCCTTCAATTTCCAGTTGGACTTTCAAACCACCAGTACCTTGGCCAGCTGAAAGCAAAAGGACATGGCCCTCACTGCGCTGCACCTTACAGGCTCGGGGAGTGGAATGCCCCATCGTGCCAAAAGGTGCGAACAGGAAAAGAAAACAAAGACAAGGGAAGAAAATTGAAGCTAAAAAAAAAATCGTTCTTTTTGTCTGGGAAGGAATGGTGTGCACAGAGAGAGAGAGAGAGAGAGAGAGAGAGAGAGAGAGAGAGAGAGAGAGAGAGAGAGGCATGAACCTGGAATAAATCTTCCCGCGTTCTCATGGAAGATCATTCTCATATTGTTTGTTCTGAACGAATGGAGCGTGGGGTATAAGCGGTGCACAGAGCACGCGGTGGTAGGTAGTGTAGTGAAAGGTGAACGTTTGAAAGAATAGTATACATTTGTGGATTGGTGCCTGTCATCTTCAAATGTGCATCGCAGTGGCCGTGCTTGTATTTGTTGCATTGCGCTCTGGTTTTAGATGACCAGCCATGAAGAAAAGTGCCTCGTAAGTGCTGGTGTGTTTAAAGGCTTTGAAGAAAATTGATATAACATCCTGATAATAAATTTGTTCTTTGTGCAGGTGGGATGAATACTATGAGAAGAGTGTAACTTTGCCATGACGGTTTCCGCCGATGCTCTGCGAGAAGGCTGTTCATACTATGATGTCCTTGGTGTTCCGAGGGATGCCGACTACTTGACGATCCGGAGGAGCTTCCTCGCTGCTGCCTTAGCGCATCATCCTGATCGTATAACCAATCGCTCACAATCATATTCGTTCCTACCTTATGCGTCAGAGCTTAGCTCCGGTCTTAGGCACGATGGGTGTCTGCCGTCCAATCCTAGCGGTAAGAGTTGTTCGGCCCATGATTTGACTGAACCGTTTAGTGTTGACGACCGTTGTACTATTCGCTGCGTCTCGAGGATCGTTACGGGTGATGCGAATTGTAATAACGGTAAAAATGCGGCTGCGATTGACGCAGAAAACAAGGGCAGGGAAAGTGGCGCAGAATTCTTGTGCACATCAACAGATGAAGGAGATGGCTGTAGTCGGAGGTCGTTGAGTGCTGCAGAAACAGTCAACGAGATCTTAGAGGACGCTTTTGTCGTTGAACCGGAGGAGGAATCTGTTCCAGCAGAAGTTGGTAGGGACGACAACAATGCGGCCAGTTTTCGTAGAATCCACGATGCGTGGTCCGTGCTGCGAGATCTGCGAAAGCGAAAAGAGTATGACGAAGAGCTAAACGCCGCTGCCACGAGATGGGGAAATCAATTGGGAGCGCTTGTCGAAGATGTCGACTTGGATGACATGAGTTGGGAGCAAAGTGACGAGTCTTGCTCGACTGGCCAATACGTCTATCCATGTCGGTGTGGCGACTGCTACGTTGTGAAGGATGAAGATTTGATGATGACATGCACCAAAGGTGCTTTTGCTTTAGGAAAACACTCGCACGTGCAGTCGTTGATCACTCACTGTGGCTCGTGTTCATTGAGCATCCGAATTCAGTTCTGTATGGTAGATAGACAACAGTAAGAGTAAGAGACTTCAAATATATATATATATCGTCAAATATATATATATATATATATATATATATATATATATCGTCACAAACAGAACTGCCCGGTAAACCGTAGGCAGAGAGAGAGAAGAGGACAACAAACGAGGGGCTGTGACAAACTGTTTCGTCGGAGTTTCACTGACTCATCAGGAGGCTGCATATATATATATACATTTTGGATAAGGTTTGGATAAGATTGAAAAAAAAAAAAAAAAAAGGCGGTGTTGTAATATTAACCATTTTGACTGTATTAACCATTTTGGTACTTCCATGGTCATGATGTTGTGTTAAACCACCAGTGCTTCGGGGGGGCGCACGTTTTTTTTGACCCGGGCTCCAGACACGCTGCGCGGGAAGTTTTGTCGAAAGGCCAGTGTGACTATATTTTGTTTTTCTTCTGTTGATTGGCACCGCCATTCATCGTAGTTTGGCAGCCCCGAAGCCCGGTGAAGGAGGTGCGTTAACATCAACGGTCCGCAGTCGATGTATGGGCCAAGTACTGGTGGTTGAAGGGGCAGGATTCTCTTCACTCCCTTTCTTTTTGTCTTACACTGTGAATGATGAAGATTTGATGACATGCATGGAAGGACTTTCAGGAAAAGACTGGAATCTGCAGTCCATGGTCACGCACTGCGGCTTTTGTCCGTTGAGCATCCGGCTTCTGTTTTGTGTGGCAGGCAGGTAGACAGTAGGAGGAGAGTCGTGGTGATGATGTCCTGTTAAATCATCAGTGCACTCGGGCTTGGCGACCTTCCAGTGCGCGCTAAGCTTCTGCGAAGAACCAGCGGTGCACCTTTTTTTCTTCTTGGCTGGCGCCACCAGCCATTGTGGTCTGGTTTGCTTGAACCGTCCGAAATTTCTGTAGGCGACGAAAGATTTCTCCACAAGGCTGGGGGCGCGAACTGGCTGTCGGTAACCGCCTGATCCGACATGATATGTTTTTTGGTATTTCTCTAAAAGAGAGAGTGAGAAAGCTGGAGGCGGCCCGTGAGGACGGAGAAAAGAACAATGGCGTCCGGCACACGCCTGTCACCCATGCTAGTAGAAACCTTTTACAATCCGAGCGCTGTTCGCTTTCGTCATTCCTGCATGCTAGCCAACCACGACGGCGAGGAAACACACACACACACACACACACAAAAAAAAAAAAAAAAAACATTTGCAATTTTAACTTTTAAATGCGTAACAGTGAAATTCAGTTACAATTTTCACGAATGTTGCTCCGAAGCCAGGAAATTCGTGAATGTGTATAACCTAGCTTTAGGGTTGGGTGCGGATGTGTTTTATTTGAGGGATGTCGGGACTGCATTTACAACTGCATTTAAAACGTGACTGGGGCGGAGTTACCCCCTTCAAAAAAGTACCGCTTAAAAAGAAAAAAAACTGCTGCTCCTTTTCCGCATCAGGGTAGAGGCAGGTAGCACTTTCGAAAAATGTCCGACTACTTTCGTGGTCAGGATTCAGCGTGGTCAGGATTCAGCGTGTGGCGCCACGACGTCAAACGTTTGCACATGCTTCCTATCTCAGCACCGCACCCTACTCGAGCAAAAAGAGGTGGGATACGAGTTTTGCCTAAAAGCTGCGGAGGCATGTAATGTCGGATCTGGCCCCAAGTAACGGGGTTCTTTTTACTCCCAAGTTGAGTCGGAGAGCCGTATGATAGGTGACTATCTTGTACGTTCGGAGAGGACTCGAGTAATCACCAAGGGTGTGAAAGTTTCACTCTATTCTTTATGGTGGTTTGTCTTCATATTTTTCGTGGTCTTTATTATGGGAGTTATGCCATTTTTTTTCCTCTTGTTTGTTGTTGTCATTGCCGTTATGGGAGCCAGCAAATGAAAGAAGGAAAGAAAAAGGAAGTGGTATCAACTGTCACATTCACCTTTTTTTTTTTTTTTTCTTGTTTGTGAGCTCTTTCTTTTGCCCATAGATATTCGTATTCCCTAACATATTTTTTTGAGCATTTGCTTGATAGATCAATAATCTGCGGCCAGACTTGATATTGGAAATTTAGGCCCAAGATTCTAAACGTATCTGGAGCTGACAATTGTCGCGATACATTCATTTTCTTTGGATCAGTAGCTGGTCGACATCACAGTCGAGATACGAGATACATGTCGAATGTGGAGTAGTGGAGCCTGGGTAGACGTTGGCTTTCCCCAAAGATAAGATAACACACCCCCATTGTGAAATGCGCAGCACGGTCATTGTGTCCTTTGCTCATCAAACTTGCCGCGTGATGTGCACTGCCTTATATATTGACTTGACATGTAGGTCATGAGTTCGAGTCCTACCGCTGACCAAGCCGATGATGCTGAGCTGGTCATTTATGATTTATCTGAAAACTACTCTGTAAGCCGACAGTTCTATGCACATTTGGCACAATGATACCAGCAGCTCTCCGTTTTTTTTTTTTTTTTTTTTTTTTTTTTTT